AGAGGAGATTGTTGCAAAAGAAGGAAGTAAATTCAGGTGTCAATTTGTCTTTCGAATGTAACCTATTGAAGCTTGAAAATCTACCATACTTAAGCTTTCTACCCTGAAAGACATACTTCTGAATGGCCGAATTTGCAAGAGTTGGTGGTGATAAATTGTGACAAATTCACTTCAAACATGTGACTTCCAAGAAATAGTGAGGAGGGTGAACTTAATATTTCAGATCTCTCTTATGTCTTATTCTGTTTATTGAAAGGAAAATTAACTTTCTTCATATATATTACATTTATTCAAAACTTTAATTATGAAATTTTTAACATATTCCCAAGAGGAAAATTTAGAAAAAAAAAAAAAAAAAAAGAATTAATGGTAAGTTGGATTGAACAGTTTTGTTATGGGAATTTAGTCATAAACAATTAATTACTAGGTTTAAAAAATTAGATCATCATATAAATGTTTTTTATTAGAAATCTATCTAACAAATATATTATCTTATTATTGAAAACATTGTCAAGAATAACAATTTCAGATGTCAACACATGAATCATGGGTTAATTACTCAATGCCAAGTCACAACGTATGTTGTTTTCTTTATAAATTACCTTGTATCTTCCTTTTATGTAGAGCTTGCACATGTATATATTTGTCTAAAACTAATCAATGAAAAACAAGCTTTCACTTATCCTCTGGTGAGATTTTGATTTTGTAATATTTCATGTATATATCAAGCTATGACTTTCGACCCAACAATTAACTTTTGTTTTAAGATATTAAAAATTTAGCTAATTTGATTTTGTTTTGATGATGCAGATCAACTCGAATTTGGAGAAAATGGAATAGAAGAATAGAAGAGAATTAAATGGTATATTCATATGGAATTCTTAATAGCTGGCATAATGTGTCAACAATATTTCATTTGAACTCCTTCAAAGATTGGAAAATCTGAGAGAGCTCCCACTATATGAAAACAAATGCAAAGAGTTATTCTTTCCGAATTTCCAAATCTGGAAGTTCTAGAGTACATTCTGTTAGCAACTGATGAGTCTAGTGCCATCCTCACCTCTTTCCTGAATCTTAAAGTTTTAGAGTTTACAACTATGGGTTGATAGTTAATAACACCTTCAACACTAGAAGCTTGGTGCAGTTGAGAGAAATGATGTAGAAAATTGTATGATTTAGAGGAGATTTAGCAGAAGAAGGAGCAAATGTAGTTGTCAATTTTTTCTTTTCGAATGTAACCTTATTGAAGCTGTGTAAATCTACCAGAACTTCAACTTTCTATTCCAAAGACATACTTCTGAATGCCAATGTTGAAGAGTTGGTGTGAAAATTTGTGACAATTCACTGCAAAACATATGAGCTTCCAAGGAAATAGTGAGGAGGTGAACTAAATATCTCAGATCCAAAATTATCTTCTTGGACGACAAGGTACGATTATCTTATTTCATTGTATATTGAAAAGGAAAATTAACTTTCTTCCTATATTTACATTTATTCAAAACTTTAATTATGGAATTCTTAACACTATATTTTTCTAACAAAAATTTAGAAAAAAAAGGAATTAATGGTCAATTGGATTTGAACAATTTGTTACGGGAATTTAGTCAATTAAACCAATTAAAGTACTGGGTTTAAAAAATTAGATCACCAATATAATTCTACAAATCATCAATATAAATTTTTTTTACCAGAAATCTATCTAATAAAATACATTGTCTTACTATTGAAAACATTGTCAAAATACAATTTCAGATATCAGCACATAATCATGGGTTAATTACTCAATCAATCCTCAATGATTTGCTCCAGTCAGGCATATGTTTTGTTTTCTTTCTAAATTACCTTGTGTCTTCTCTTTATGTAAGCTTGCGCTCATGTTATATATTGCCTAAATTGATCAATGGAAAACAAAGCTTTCACTTATCTTCTGTGAGATTTTGATTTTGTATATATTTTATGTATATAAAGCTTATGACTTCTGACCTAACAATTAACTTTTGTTTAAGATTATAAAAATCTAGATTTGATTTGTTTGGATGGATATGCAGATCATTCTAATTTGGAGGAAATGAAATTACAGAATAGGAATGGACGGATTAAATGGCGGAGTCGATGTAAAAATCTTTACATCCGGGATGGTGGTTCAGCAAATCTTCCATTTGAGCTCTTTCAAAGAATTGAAAATCTTAAAGACCTCTACCTATGTAACAATTTATTCGAAGAGCTTTCTTTCCAAATCTTCCAAAACTTGAAGTTCTAGAGTTCACCATTGTGATCGTGTGGAAATAAACCAATTAGCTAGAAGCTTGGTGCAATTGAGTATAAAGAATTGTTTGGTTTTAGAGGAGATTGTTGTAAAAAAGAAGGAGCAAATGAGGTGTCAATTTTGTCTTTCTGAATGTAACCATCTTGGAGCTTAAAAATCTACCAGTACTTACAACTTTCTACCTTGAAGACATACTTATGAATGGCCGAATTTCAAGAGCTGGTGGTGATAATTGTGACAAATTCACTTCAAACCATATGACTTCCTAGAAAATAATAGGAGGGTGAACTTACATTTCGATCCAAAATCTATCTTCTTTGACAATAAGGTACGAATTTTTATTTCATTGTTTATTGAAAACGAAAATAACTTTCTTCATATATATATTTATTATTACATCTTTATTTTTCTTTGGAACGAAAATTGAAAAAAAAAAAAAAGAATTAATGGTAATTTGGTTTTGAACAGTTTTGTTATGGAATTTTGTCAATTAAACCATTTAAAGTACTAGGTTTAAAAAAATTAGATCATCCAACTAATCTACAAATCATCATATAAATTTATTTTACTAGAAATCTTTTAACAAAATATGTGTCTTACTATAAAAACATTGTCAGGAATAACAATTTCAGATATCAACACATGAGTGGTTAATTCTCAATCAATTGTCCAATGATTGCTCAAGTCATGGCTTATTTTGTTTTCCTTTAAATTGCCTTGTATCTTCCTTTTATGTAAAGCTTGCACCCATGTATAATTTGTCTAAAACTGATCAATGAAAAATAGAGCTTTTACTTACTTCTTGTGAGCTTTTGATTTTGTATATTTTTCATGTATAATCAAGCCTTGACTTCTAATCCAACAATTAACTTTTGTTTTAAGATTATAAAATCTAGCTTTTTTGATTTGTTTTGATGGATATGCAGATCAACTCATTTGGAGGATATGGAATTAGAGAATGAGAACAGGTGGAATGGCGAGTCAATCTAGAGCTCTTCACTCTGGGATATGTACAGTAAATTTCCATTAAAAACTTTCAAAGATTTGAAAATCCGAAAGGAGCTCCTATGTGTCAATGTATTTGAAGACTATTCTTTCCAAATCTTCAAAATCTTGAAGTTCTAGATGTATTGGTGTGATAGATTGAGGAGTCTGGGCCATCGCAACTTCTTTCAGAATCTTAAAGTTTTGACAGTTAAAAATTGCAACGGTTATGAAGTTAATAACACTTTCAACGGTAGAACTTGGTGCAGTTGACAAAATGAGCATAATTGAATGTAACATGGTGATAGAAATAGTTGAAAACGAGGAAGATGCAACAATGAGTGTTGAAATTGTTTTTTCCAATTTGAAGAAGTTTCATTTAGAGCATTAGAAAGTCTCACATGCTTTCTCGCTCGGGATTACCTTGAAATTCCCAAATTTGGAAGCTTACATGTGTATAAATGCTCAAGATGAAGACTTTCTCTGGGGAGGCTTAAGCATGCCAAGGTTAAAGACGTTGAATTATAAATATTGTTTCAGAGAGTGATATTGATATAATCATACAACAATTACAAAATAGTAAGTATTCATTTACTTAACAGTATACTTTTTCCATAGACTTCTTCGTTCTCCTTTATTGAATTAATACTAGTAAATCCTTAATGATCTTTATTATTGATTTTCTCTTTAATTAAAATCTTCTATATGAATCAATTATAGACTTTCAAGTATATATAGAGAAGCTATAATATTACAATTTATATTGAAAGCAAGACAAAGGGCATAGGAGTTAGTAACATTAATCAGTATACACCAAACACTATTTTTGTTCTCAAAAGTTACACTTGATTATGTGCTTTTGAAGTATTGAGGTGGTTGTCGAGGAAATTCTCCATCTTCTTGTTTAATTGATAAATTATTATCCATTTAGAGTCTCAAATTTAAAGCAACATTTTCTACAGTTTCTGCTTCTACACTTAATATGATGTTCTTTATTATTACAGATTGTTCGGGGTTTTGAGAAAGATTTGTAGAAGAAAGAAACTGGTAATGTTCATCAACATACAACAAAGTCAAAGTCATATGGTAAGTGTCTCATATTAGTAAGAAGAATAAACTGTAAATGTACCTCGCCACTTATATTTTCTATAGCCAAAGCGGTTTCTCTCTTTATATTTATTGATGTTCACATAGTGGGTTTCCAGTTCCACCATTAATTATATTATCCCTTTAATTAAGCATAGTTCAAAGAATATATAAGTTTTCCCTTGGAAGTGTGTCTAGCTGCTTTCGGAAATTCAATTAATTAAATAGATTTCGGGGTATAAATTTTTTCGAAATTGCAAGGTTAAATATGATATTAATTAAAACTTTGAGGGACTTAGGATAAAGAATTGAAATAGTAGAAGCATACGAGGGACTTTAGTAGCATTATCCGATTGTGTAAATTTATATAAAGAAAATGTAGCGATGGTGATTGCAGGGGTTATACTGAGTTAGGCGTCTCCTTCCTTGGCAGCTAACGGCGATATGATTCCTGTCAAGTCCGCTCTAATATCCGGTTGCTTGGCCTCAGTTTACAGTGAATTTTAAATGAGCCGTATCGACCACGTTCGTCCTCTCCCTTCCATTCTCCGTAACCCTTCAAAATTGTCGACGGTCCCGCCGGCAGTCCAGGCCATTTTCGTCGTCTCAAATACTAATCATTAAAACTAATAGAACATGTGTTTTTATATTTGTTAATGATTTATTTTCACAGATGAGATTGCCAAGCTGCTCCTGATCCTGAATCTGTTCGCAACGATCGGCGAAATTGGTGCCAAATAATGTCGATAGGCTTCAGGCAGATCAGAAGTTGAAAATCGGCATCGTGTTTGACTGGGCTTCAGGCGATAGATGTACACAATGTGATCTCAGGAATTTTAGGTGAGGATCTATATTATCTGTAGTTTTAAAACGTGGTTTGCTTGAAATGTTGTTCGAAAAAATGATTTTTGTGTTTCGTTGGTAATGCTTTGTATGGATTTAGGAGAGGTACAACAAGGATTATGAAGTGCAAATACATTGAATTGCTCCTGAATATACAAAAACCAATTGTTTCTTTCGAGTGAAATTTATAGTTTTCAAAGTATTCAAATGTGGTCAATAGGCATTAATTAATGTTTGTTAGATAAATTATATTTGATGAGATTTACTAAGTCCTTAAAAGTGTATTAGCCAACAGTTAAAATTGTATTTCAATTTGTGCAAGTATAATTTGATAGTGTTTTGATATGGAAAACTGTTTATATACACTGTTAATAGTGTTGTTTTTGTTGGATATGAAGTGAGTTATTAGACAAGTAGAGGAGAGATGTAGTGGTAGTGAAACCTTTTAGGGTATGCAAAATTTAGCATGTAAGTGTTTCTCTTGGATATTGTTGAGAATACGTGTCCTTTATCATTGAACTGGATAAACTGACCTTGATCACACAACAATTACAAAATGGTATATATTCATATACTTAACAATATATTTTTTCTATGGACTTTTTCGTTCTCCTTTTAGATTTAATATTTCTGAGCCAAAACTGAAGTATGCGCGAAGATGAAGACCTTATCTGGAGGAGGCTTAAACATGCCAAGGTTACAAATATTTGAACTGGATGGAGTGCCCTTAGTCGCACAACAATTACAAAAATGTAAGTATGAATTTGCTTAACAATATACTTTTTCTGTAGACTTCTTCATTCTCCTTCATTGATTTAATACTAGTCAATCCTCAATGGTCTTTAATATTGATTTTGTGACTTTTGTCTTTAATTAAAATCCTCTGAGTGAATCAATTATAGACTATCAAGTGTATATAGAGAAACTACAATATTACAATTTTTAATTTTTTAATTTCATAGATGAGATGCCAAGTTGTTCCCAAATCTATTCTCAACAATCGACGAAATTGGTGTCAAATGATGTCGATTATGCTTCAAGTAGATTAGAAGATGAAAATCAGCATCATATTTGTTTGGGCTCTAGGCGACAGGTGAACATGATGTGATCATATATGAAGCTATCGTTTTAAAACGTGATTTGCTTGAAATGTTGTTTGAAAATGTGATATTTGTGTTTCATTGCTGGTTTACTTGCAGGATTGTGCGAGAGGTAGTATCCTATTCAGCAGAGGTTCAGCAAGGATCATGAAGTGCAAATGCATTGAATGGCTCTTGAATATATTTATCCGGCAAGAAATCTGGTACAGTTTAAATTGTATTTCAACTTGTACAAGTATAGTTTGATAGTGTATTGATATGGAAATAAATTGTTTGTATTCCTAGTAATTTGCTTTTGAATAGATTATAAGTTGTAATACTTTGCTATAAAAATAATTATACCAATAATTAGAAAATGTAGCTGGTGGTTTTTTTGAAATTGATAACTGTAGAATTTTAAGCATGTGTGCGTTAGGTTTGGCTAAGTAGAAGTAATGCTCAACTTGATTGTTAAGGTTATATGATTGAAACTCGTGAGACTATTCACTTAATGATTGGATGATTTGGATGGACTTTTTTTTAAGACCATTCATATATATATATGTATAAAAGACTCTTTGAGATAATGATGGATACGTTAACTTATAAAAGTCTTGTTTTTGTTGGGTTTAGTCAGTTATGAGCCAAGTAGAGGAGAGACGTTCAGGTAGGGACATAATGTATGGTCAAAGCCTGTCTTTCTCTAGTCTTGTTCCTTTTCAAAGCCTTTTTTTTTTTTTTTTTTTTCATTTTGGTCAACGCCTCAGTGGTTCAAAAAGCTAGAAATGGAAATTTTTATAGGATGGTTATCTCATATTTTTATATCATGTACAACTGTTTAAAGTTTTTTTGTTGGTTTGGGTTTTGCATGGTTTGGTGCTTTGATGTGTAGTGGTAGTAAAAGTGAAACCCTTTAACCCTTTAGGATATGTAACATTAGAGTTAAGGACCTTCATTAACTATTGGAATTGACTACTGTATGAATTTATGACAGGATAAGGATGACCATGACTAGCAAAGCAGAGTTTTTGGTTATTAAGGAACTGCACGTTTGTGAATTGATTACTAAGTGTAGTGGGGGTGAAGATGTTGAAGGGAAGCAATGGCATGATTATAAATATTGGATTATTGCCAACAAGTAATTTTGTGCTACTAGTTTCTTCATTCTGGTCATACGTCTCAACAGTGGCAATAAGGAGCTATGGGTAAAAATCGTTTAAAAATTAATAGAGTACAATAGATAAAAATATGAAGGGTAGAAGTGAGAAAATCATAACTTCAGGGTACACATGATTGTGAGAATGTAAAAATGGACCAATGGCATGCTTGACTATTCTGCAAGTGCGTGATTCAGAAGAAATATGTAAATAAATTAATATTCTGATTTCTTAGTCATCTTAGTATAAGTCTCTGGGGTTCTGGTTGCTACTTTTTTATGTTTCTTGCGTACCATCAGTCACTAATTGAAGTTTGTAGTTCAAGAGATTTTTGAACTTTATCACCTTGGTCTTACATGGATTCTTTTGAACAAACCTTATTTTGTCAATGCTCAACTTTACTATATGTGCTCATAGGTGTCTGAAGTTCAAACTTTGGCAACTAATATATTGATTTGTTGTTTTCAGGATTTGTACTTGATCCTAACAAATGCAGCCGACTTACCTTGGAAGAGAAAACAGAACTGGTTTATGGCTATCTTAGTTTGATGTCCTAATGTACACAGTTCTGCTTCTGTTTTCTTCAAAGGTGACAGGGGAAGTTTCCTAAAATGGTTACCGGTTGGACGAGTTTGTTCCCTAGAAAACGTCAGCTTCTATAAGCCAAGATGATGCTTACATGAAGGTATTTGTCTAGTTACAATCTCATATTTTGTTCTATTTGCTGCTGGTGCAGTATGAAATGTTCATGACAATGGTTGTTTTAACAGGCAATTTCTGCCAATGGACAAAAAAAGTACCCTTCAAACAGATCTTGTTCTAAAGGTATTTCTCTTTATTGAAGTATAACCATACTTTATTTGGTTGATTTGTATCTGTGCAAATGCTTTAAAATTTATATTTTAACATTTTTACGGCTTCCCAGGTCCTTGGACTCGATATCTGTGCTGACACAATGGTGGGAGGTGAGATGAGAAGAGGCATCTCTGGAGGTCAAAAAAGGGGACTGACTACAGGTAATTTTTTGCAGAAAGGTTGAAAGTTTTAGCATTTTGTACAATGCATCTGCTCCATGTCATCACTTGGTAGTAATGTTTATGAAATAACTGATTTAGAGGATTAGATGCATTTGATGATAATCTTAGAAGATCATATGCAGGGGAGATGGTTGTTGGTCCCACCTATTTATGGATGAAATATCAAATGGTTTAGACAGTTCAACAACATATCGGGTTGTTGCTTGTCTGCAGCAGCTGGTGCATATCACAGATGCTACCATATTGATTTCACTTCTTCTACCAGCTCTAGAGACCTTTTAAACTCTTTGATGACATCATTATGATGGAAGAAGGGAAGGTTGTGTACCAAGAACCACGCGATCAAGTTGTATAATTTTTTGAGGACTGTGGATTCAGGTGTCCTCAAAGAAAAGGTGTAGCTGACTTTCTTTAGGAGGTAAGTACATTACAACTTACAATCACTTCTTTTCCATGCTCGAATGTTTGCTGTTCAGCTTTTATCCTAATTCTTTTTTTTTTCTAGTAGGTAATGTTACTATGCTTTTATTGATTCATAACCTGTGTATTTTCAGTGCAGTTGATCCTTTTGAAAAGGGGTGGATGCGTCGGCTACACTGGACCATTGGGAAAGAATTCATGCAGGCTTATAGGGTATTTTGAGGTTAGTTTCCTATCAATATAGTTGTACTATAATATGTCGAGTAGTAATACTCTTCCCAAATGAAATTCCAAATTTCCCATCCCAAAATGATGTGTCATATCATGTGCGTTGACATATCATTTAACACTGAACTCCTCATTTATGCATCAAAATCACATTCGGTAACACATCACTTGGGATGAAAAACTTGGGTTATCATTTAGGAAGAGTAGTATTGATAATATGCTTTTCCACCTACTTGCTTCTTGTGGCTAGTCTTCCATAAATCTTTGACTAAACAATTTTAACTGATAGGCAATATCTGGGGTGCCGAAGTTAGAGATAACTACAATCCAGCAACATGGATATTAGAGCTCACATCTCCATCTTTAGAAGTTGAACTTTGTGTAGATTTAGCCCAAATATACACAGATTCTGCCTTATATGAGCAACGAGCAACTAGTTTGATGAATTTTCCTTGAATTAAATTAGTGATCACAAGAAGTTTTCTGGTTCCATTTCTTTCTCTTTATATGTGCTGACTATGCCTATTAAGACATAAACACATTTCAAACTTCAAAGTGTAATTTCACTTGTATACTTGACAGAAAACCATGCCGAGTTTAAGGGCAAGGAATTGCTTCTAAGATCACATTCATAATTATTAATTTAATTTAATTATTTTGTCAAAGTTTCCATTGAAATAAATGTTTATTTATTTTCTAATTATATATTCATATTCTATTCTAAACATCAACTTTCTATTCTAAACATCAACTTTCTATCTTTGATTTCCCCGTTTAAATTGTTCTCCTAAAAATAAATAAGTCAAATGCACTAATGCAGTAATTGAATTTGCATATAAAAGTTTAATCAATTTTTTATAATGTGAAGGCCTAAGATTTTTGTCTTAAGTCCTGAAGACCTTAAACTATTAGCAAGCTCGACTATGAGCACATGTACGATATAATATAATTTTTTAAACATGAATACACTTAAATTTTCCACTAATTTTGTGTACTAATAATAACTTTAAGAACCACTTTTTCTATAGTTTTTCAAACACTTCTATTATATTAGTAATTTAAATTTAAAGAAACAGTGTCCTACAATTGATAAATATTCCTTTAATAAGATATTGGAGTAAACTTAATTTAATAAAAGACTATTTGAAAACTATTTCTCAAAGGTATGATTGATGAAGAAACTCCATTAAACATCAGAGAGAACCTGATGAAGAACAAAAGATACATCAGAAGCCTAACTGAGTTTCGTGAAAATAAAGGGATTCATCAAAAGATACATCAGAAGCCTAATTGAGTTTCGTGAAAATAAAGGGAGAAAACATGATGAAAGTAAAGTTAGTGAAGCTGAGAGGGTAGTAATGGAAAAAAAGCTCCTGGTGGTGGGTTAAGACTAGCCTTAGAAGATGAATAATACCTTCTATTAAGGTCTGTTGACTGTAGCTTGAATAANTAATGGGAGATATTTTATATTTGCTTCCGCTATTAAAACAATTGATGTTGTTATTTTCTTTAAACCATATTTTTCATATATAGTCATGTCTTGATAGGTTAATTAAGAAAGTGATATAAATGAGAGGAGAAGTTTTTATTTATTGATTTTCATATAGTACATGTTAATAACCAGGATTTACGTTTTACAATACACAACCTTCCAGGCGTGAATTCTCTACTTTTTCCATCCTAATGGAATACTTAGAGGGTACCCGGCTGGAGGGGGGGTGTTACACAAATGATGTCGATTACGCTTCAAGTAGATTAGAAGATGAAAATCAGCATCATATTTGTTTGGGCTCTAGGCGACAGGTGAACATGGTGTGATCATATATGAAGCTATAGTTTTAAAACGTGATTTGCTTGAAATGCTGTTTGAAAATGTGATATTTGTGTTTCGTTGTTGGTTTACTTGCAGGATTGTGCGAAAGATAGTATCCTATTCAGCAGAGGTTCAACAAGGATCATGAAGTGCAAATGCATTGAATGGCTCCTGAATATATTTATCCGGTAAGAAATCTGGTACAGTTTAAATTGTATTTCAACTTGTACAAGTATAGTTTGATAGTGTATTGATATGGAAATAAACATTTTGTATTTCTAGTAATTTGCTTTTGAATATATTATAAGTTCTAATACTTTGCTATAAAAATAATTATAACAATAATTAGAAAATATAGCTGGTGGTCGTTTTGAAATTGATAACTGTAGAATTTTAAGCATGTGTGCGTTAGGTTCGGCTAAGTAGCAGTAATGCTCAACTTGATTGTTAAGGTTATATGATTGAAACTCGTGAGACTATCCACTTAATGATTGGATGATTTGGATGGACTTTGTTTTAAGACTATTCATATATATAAGACTCATTGAGATAATGATGGATACGTTAACTTATAAAAGTCTTGTTTCTGTTGGGTTTAGTCAGTTATGAGCCAAGCAGAGGAGAGACGTTCAGGCAGGGACTCAATGTATGTTCAAAGCCTGTCTTTCTCTAGTCTTGTTCCCTTTCAAAGCTTTTTTTTTTTTTTTTTTTTTTTCATTTTGGTCAACGCTTCAGTGGTTCAAAAAGCTAGAAATGGAAATTCTTGTTGGATGGTGATCTTATATTTGTATATCACGTGCAACTGTTTAAAGTTTTTTTGTTGGTTTGGGTTTTGCATGTTTTGGTGCTTTGATGTGTAGTGGTAGTAAAAGTGAAACCCTTTAACCCTTTAGGATATGTAACATCAAAGTTTAAGGATCTTCATTAACTATTGGAATTGACTACTGTATGAATTTATGACAGGATAAGGATGACCATGACTAGCAAAGTAGAGTTTTTGGTTATTAAGGAACTGCAAGTTTGTGAATTGACTACTGAGTGTAGTAGGGGTGAAGATGTTGAAGGGGAGCAATGGCATGATTATAAATTTTGGATTATTGCCAACAAGTAATTTTGTGCTGCTAGTTTCTTCATTCTGGTCATACATCTCAACAGTGGCAATAAGGAGCTATGGGTGAAAATCATTTAAAAATTAATAGAGTACAATAGGTAAAAATATGAAGGGTAGAAGTGAGAAAATCATAACTTCAAGGTACACATGATTGTGAGAATGTTAAAACGGACCAATGGCATGCTTGACTATTCTGCAAGTGCGTGATTAAGAAGAAATATGTAAATCAATTAATATTCTGATTTCTTAGTCATCTTAGTATAAGTCTCTGGGGTTCTGGTTGCTACTTTTTTATGTTTCTTGCGTACCATCAGTCACTAATTGAAGTTTGTAGTTCAAGAGATTTTTGAACTTTATCACCTTGGTCCTACATGGATTCTTTTGAACAAACCTTATTTTGTCATTGCTCAACTTTACTATATGTGCTCATAGGTGTCTGAAGTTCAAACTTTGGCAACTAATATATTGATTTGTTGTTTTCAGGACTTGTACTTGATCTTAACAAATGCAGCCGACTTACCTTGGAAGAGAAAACAGAACTGGTTTATGGCTATCTTAGTTTGATGTCCTAATGTACACAGTTCTGCTTCTGCTTTCTTCAAAGGTGATAGGGGAAGTTTCCTAAAATGGTTACTAGTTGGACGAGTTTGTTCCCTAGAAAACGTCAGCTTATATAAGCCAAGATGATACTTACATGAAGGTATTTGTCTAGTTACAATCTCATATTTTGTTCTATTTGCTGCTGGTACAGTATGAAATGTTCATGACAATGGTTGTTTTAACAGGCAATTTCTGCCAATGACAAAAAAAGTACCCTTCAAACAGATCTTGTTCTAAAGGTATTTCTCTTTATTGAAGTGTAACCATACTTTATTTGGTTGATTTGTATCTGTGCAGATGCTTTAAAATTTATATCTTAACATTTTTGTGGCTTCCCATGTCCTTGGACTCAATATCTGTGCTGACACAATGGTGGGAGGTGAGATGAGAGGAGGCATCTCTGGAGGTCAAAAAAGGAGACTGACTACAGGTAATTTTTTGCAGAAAAGTTGAAAGTTTTAGGCTCCGTTTGTTTCGTTTTTGGGAATACTATTATTAGTATTCCCAGAAAAGTTAAATAGTAAAATTGCAAAAACTCACAATATTATTTAATATTATTCAACTTTTTTTAAACCCCCTAAATTTGTTAATTTAGTTAAATACCCTTAAATATTTTTTTCAAAATTGCAAAAACACCCCTAAACCCACATTATACCAAATTCCGGCCACCACTGCTGGAAGTTGGCCGGAATCTGATATAATGGCGTACTATCGGCTAAATCTGGTCGGTAGTGCGCCGATCTAGCCTTTTTCGGCCAAATCCACGATGGATCTGGCCAGAAAAGGCCAGATCTAAGGCCAAAGATCTAGTCGTTGACGGCCAGATCAACGACGACCATACGTTGGCCGTCATTGACGAGCAAATGCGGTCAGATCTGGCCGTCAATGGCCAGATCCACCGTGGATCTGGCCGGCAAAGGCCATATCGGTGCACGACCGGCAAGATCCAGCAGATCATGTGTCGATATTGCGACTCCGGCCACCCTCCGGCGATGGTGGCTGACTGTGATTATTCAATGAGTGGGTTGGACGTGTTTTTGTTAACTTTTAAAGTTTTATTATAGGGGTGTTTAGTAAATAAATAAACATAGGGGGTATTTTTATTAATTTCCAAATCCTATATCGTAATACCTGCCCAATTCAACTTTTTTTAACTTTTTTCAAAAAACTTTTCTAAAAAATGCAAAAAAGTGAACCAAACGGAGCCTTAGCATTTTGTACAATGCATCTGCTCCATGTCATCACTTGGTAGTAATGTTTATGAAATAACTGATTTAGAGGATTAGATGCATTTGATGATAACCCTTAGAAGATCATATGCAGGGGAGATGGTAGTTGGTCCCACCTATTTATGGATGAAATATCAAATGGTTTAGACAGTTCAACAACATATCAGATTGTAGCTTGTCTGCAGCAGCTGGTGCATATCACAGATGCTACCATATTGATTTCACTTCTTGTACTGGCTCCAGAAACCTTTTGAATTCTTTGATGACATCATTTTGATGGCAGAAGGGAAGGTTGTGTACCAAGAACCATGCGATCAAGTTGTATAATTTTTTGAGGACTGTGGATTCAAGTTTCCTCAAAGAAAAGGTGTAGCTGACTTTCTTTAAAAGGTAAGTACATTACAACTTACAATCACTTCTTTTCCGTGCTCGAATGTTTGCTGTTCAGCTTTTATCTTAATTCTTTTTTTTTCTAGTATGTAATGTTACTATGCTTTTATTGATTCATAACCTGTGTATTTTCAGTGCAGTTGATCTTTTTGAAATGGGGTGGATGTGTCTGCTACATTGGACCATTGGGAAAGAATTCATGCAGGCTTATAGGGTATTTTGAGGTTAGTTTCCTATCAATATAGTTGTACTATTATATGTCGAGTAGTAATACTCTTCCCAAATGAAATTCCAAATTTCCCATCGCAAAATGATGTGTCATCTCATGTGGCGTCGACATATCATTTAATACTGAACTCCTCATTTATGCATTAAAACCACATTCGGTAATACATCACTTGAGATGAAAAATTTGGGTTATCATTTAGGAAGAGTAGTATTGATAATATGCT